TAGTAGACTTATTTAATATTAATACTCGTGTTAACCACAGATTTATTTTGCTAAATATAATAAAGCATTTATTGCAAGAGCTTTTATACAGAACTGGAATTGGGATATGCAGTAAAGCGTGATAAAAGACAAATACTTTTTTACTTTAGTACTTCAAATTTGTAGTTAAGCGCAGTATTGAGAAAATGTGCTTAGTTATTCTCCTCCTTTTATGCTGCCTAAGGGAGGAACCCTTTCCCCATTTTCAAATTATATTGATTGACTTTCCATACACAGCGCCTACCAGTCATACATAATAATGTGCCGTTCTATTCTTAGTCCACTTATTGCTGTCCATAATCTTCCCTTATCCTTCCCAAGGGCAGGGAATGGTATTTTCCTTCCCATGCAGTATATGACTTAGTCTGAGGGCCTAATTATGAGTTTCACCTCTCTGAGATTATTAGATAAGCAATAAAGGTCTTGAAAATGGTGGCCAAGGAAGCATCAGGGGTATTCGACAGCTCTATCTTTCTAATTATCTTCAGTGTTTATCTCTCTACATGCACAAGTAGGCTATGAGATGCAACCAGTATCCTGTTCAGGATAAAATGAAGAGAAAGAAACCAAAAATGACTAACAACAAGGGGAAAGCCATCTTTTTTTTATATAAAAATATAATCTTGAGCAGATGTTTCTGGTTTCAAATATGTGTGGGTTTGTGTCTAGACGATGAAAGCACAAGAGATACCGTACATACATGAATGCAAATAAGCAAGAAGTCCATGTTTCACAATTGGAAGATGGTAATCTGTCGTTTCTTCTTACACCCAATCAATCCTGAAACAAGGACATAATCATACTGCAAGCAGCACTCTGACACAGGTAAGTGTGATGAAGAAATTGATAACTGTCCTCACATCTGATAGAATCTGTGAGAGGTCTCCAGTCTCATATCCCGCGCTTCAGTTCAGATGCTGTGTTTATTTTCCAACCTTCAACGAGGCCAGGTTAACATTACAGCGGAGGTGCGATTTCCTTCAAAACATCTGCCAACCAGATTCACATCAGTTGCAGCTTTCTAATGAAATGTCTCGGGCTTGTACGTGCTTTATTAAAGTGAAGGAGTTTTCCATTGATTTCAAGTAGGGTTTTTTTTCCCCCAACCCTCATCTGGTATCTGATCTGCTGCTGGGTGCTCTAAGTTAAGATTAGACATTATGGATCTGAGGATCCGAATGTGTGCTCTGTGATTTAGACGTTTGCAGGATGGTGTTTTCTGTTTTATGCTAACATTAGCATGCTACCATGCTCGTACAACAATGTGTCAAAGGTATTTTAAAAAGCTTAGTATTTTCTGGTTTCTATGGCTTTTTATAGCTCCCGTCTTTAATAATTCATCTTGATATCCAAAGTGTAGTCCTAGTCTGTGTTTGGACAGGGAAAGTTTGAATTTCACTGCAGTCAAGTCTTAATTCTAATAATTATGCATCTACAGGGAAAAGAGTATTTTTCATGAGCCACGTAATATGAGGGTCTTATTTCTAATCTCCGTGAAGTTTAGTCCCACACTGAGAGCTTTCCCGTCTCCAAACCACATAGATGAGGAATTATTACATGTCACAGCAGCGCAGTTTAGAGTGAGTGTAGATCATTTAATTTAAAATCCACTCAAGGCTGAAATGATTTAATCTGAATTCTCAGCACGCAGACACAAAATGAAGAAAAGTCCATCAACAGAGTCTAAAATCTGATTAAAGAAGTCCTCGTTCAGGTTTTGATACAGATCTTTTCATTCAAACTCTCAGATGGCACACTTTGAAAGAAATGAATGTTGAATTATAAACTCTAAACACAGTTGCCTGGGTAATAACACATGTGACTGCCCACTTCTTTCTTGTCTGATGTCTTTCAGGCGGCTCTTTTGACATAATGGATCATTAGGCTGGAGATCCAACCAGGTGGGAGTCAAGTGAGCTCAATTACAAACCTATTGCAGTACAGTAGACCTGCCCCAGGGCAGCTGTGGCTACAACTGTAGTTGCCTCCACCAGTGTGGGAATGCGAGAGTGAATGAATAGTGGCATTGTAAAGCGCTTTGGGTGCCTTGAAAAGCGCTATATAAATCCAATCCATTATTATTATTATAATAAAAATTAATTACTATATTATTAACAAACCAATAACCAAGTAATAGCCAACCTTGGTTTTTAGTTTGGTCATTTAAATGGTCATTTCTGTGTGATATTTAGAAATAAACATTTCTAACCTAGTCACACTGATGTGTTAGTAACATTGCAATAATAAGGTAATGTAAGTTTAGTTGTTTTTACATATTAACACACTATTACCATAGTATAATGCTGAAATTAATCACAGCTTATATGCTAAAACATGTCCTTTGTTTGAGTATAAAAATGCAGTATTCTGTGTTGGGAGCAGGAGCGTTAGCTAATCGGAAATATCTGTGCTGTTTTATATTTAATAATTCTAAATCAAGGCTCAAAAATGCAAAATTAAATGTTTCCATTTCGTTTCTTTGTATTGATTAAACCAAATGCCTAAAGGTATAATGAACAGGTGCTATTCTTGTTTGGATATTGCTACAAAATGACATTTTTACTAATATTAGAGGCGTTCTAATTAAATTTTCCTTATTATCATGCAGTAACTCTGTGCAAATAACTCTGTGTACACGATGAACCAATTGAACTGCAGACTATGCAGCACCTTGTCACATCAGGAAATTAGAGTCCAAGTATTTGATACATAATGTGTTTTCATTTAAAGTCGATTTCTGGTTGTCACTGTTATGTTTTTGTGGGTTTTTTAATGCTCCATGTTTGCTGGACTCTGTCATTATGACAGCTTTGGCCAACTTGTCACTGTATGGCAGGCTGGTGGGGGAGTGACTAGATGTGTGTGTGATAACTTGGCTAATTCTCTTCTCTGCCTTCCAAACTTCTCCATATACCACAGTGATGACTCACAAAGGAGTGACCTGCATCTTGTCTCTGGGGATGAGTGGCTTATTTAATTGGATTGGCAAGGCAAAAGGTGAAAGATAAAAATCAGACGCTCACCTCAGTGGCTTGGCTCCTCATTTCTTTTCTTCTCTTTTCGGCATGGGTGCCACTAGATAAACTTGGGAATCTAGTATCTCCCTCAATGAAGCCCTTAGGTAGCTCAGCAAGTGCTGCTGTACTCATGGGTTCAAAACACCGTTGCAAAAGGACCACCAGTGTGTCCTTTTGCATTTGCATGTTTTTAGACGTCATATATCATTTTCAGTAACCCAAATAAGACTCCAAGTTACTATTGCTTTTGTGCATTTTAAAGAAGGTAAATGCTGCCAACTACCTATGCAGGTGTGGCTTCAGCAGAATGAGATCTGATGTTTATTTTGTCACATAAATATCAAATCAATTTAAGGAGTCTTGTAGTTTTAGGATCAACAGTGGTATCTGAAAATGTCCTGGCAACCTGTGCAATTAGTGTGGAGAAATAAAAAGCTATGATATATAGAGCAATGCATATTACCCCTTTGTACCTATGTATTATATTGTCAAAACTTGCATAAGCCTCACAACCTGCAAAACTGTACATTTTAATACACCATGGTCCAGGTGTACTTCATTGCTTTATTTTTCTCAGCGAACCAAGGAGGAAAAACTATGCTTTCTGCAGAGTGCCCCTGCAGGAATCTGAGGTAGCTGGTGGAAATGGAGAGTGCATTTCTCTTTTTCAAATATACCAATTACATGAAAGGTGGTGTAGAGACGATCTGTCTCCCGCTGACTGGCAGCACACCGTGCATTTTCCTGGCACTACACGGGCTAACTGCTCTATAGCCTCGCCCTTGGGAGTGTTGGCAGAACTTCAAACACTTTCAGTTTTTGCTTTTAAGCATGTGCAAAACCTACCCCAGAATTTCAAATAGGAAAAAGGTTACAGAAACCATCTAGCTTTAATAGGCGCTCCATAAATCAGATATTAAAGAGTCAAGTGATAGCAAACTCATAGAGTTGATGATATTGAAAACCATCCAAAAATTGTTCTCTGGCAAATCAATGGTTGTTTAAAGGCAGGGGGTCATTTACCTGTTATATATTAGTTGCAAGGATCCTACAGGATGGCTTAAAAGATATTCTTTCCTTCTTCCTGACTCCACTTTAAGCTAGACTCATTAATCGTCATCTTAATGGTTAGGCCGTCTCCATCTTACTCAATCGTCCACTATTCCTGAGGGACATAATGTGCATTCTTCATACAACTGTCTTGCACCAGTGTTACATCAACTTTCCTCTCTGCAGAAACGAGTGTGATTAGACTATTTTTGTACAT